CTTTTTAGTGATGCATAGTACTCCATTGTATGTGTGTACCATAGGTTTTTAATCCATTCGTCTGTTGATGGAAATTTGGGTTGCTTCCAACTTCTTGCGATTGTGAACTGTGCCGCAATGAACATTGGAGCACAGATGTCTGGCCTTGGTTTGTTTCTTGCCTCTTCTGGGTATATGGCCAATAGGGAGATTGCTGGGTCGTATGGTAATTCAATTTCCATCTGTTTGAGAAATCGTCAAATCAATTTCCATAGTGGCTGTACATATCTACAGGTCCACCAGCAGTGGATGAGAGTTCCTGTCTCACCACAGCCCCTCCAACACTTGTTGCTTTCTGATGTTTTGAATCGGGCTATCTTTCAGGGTTTTAGGTGATATCTCATAGTTGTTTTGATTTGCATTTCTCTTATGGCTAATGATCGGGAACCTTTTCTCATATGTTTATTGGCCATTCGGATTTCAGACTCTGTGAGACTTCTGTTCAGGTCCTTTTCCCACCCTCAGTGGACAGTTAGTTTTCCAAATGTGCTATTTTGTAATTCTGGATTTTATAAGCCTGTGGCTATAGCCTCATTTTAGAAGGCATTATCTGCTAAGGAACACTAATAGGGTGAAATTAAGATCTGACCTTAATAGAGGGTATGAATCAAGCCACGGTCTTTGTTTAATGAGTGCCTTAGTTGCTCTTAAAAGGAACCCTGGAGGCTTAGTGGCTACTCATTGGGCTGTGATCTGCAGCCACTCTGTGGGAGAGAGACAGGGCAAGGAGTGTGTGTGTGTGTGTGTGTGTGTGTGTGTGTGTGTGTGTGTGTGTGTGTTGTAAGGGATGATATACTACAGCTAAGAGGAGAAAATCTGCTTCTGGAGTGGCCTGGGGAAAAGCCTGGCTGATTAAGATTAAAACAAACAAACAAAAACCTCACTGATAGAGAGTTAATGTCAACTCCTATAGCAACCCCTATAGGACAGAATACAATGGCCCCTGTGGGTTTCTGAGACTTTTTAACTCTGTGGAAGTAGAAAGCTTCATCTTTTTCCCATAGAGCAACTGGTGGTTTCAAACTGCTAAACTTGCAGTTAGTAGCCAAGCCTCTAACCACAAGGAAGGCAGTCCCTACTGGAAACATCCTGCCAGAGGCCCCAGCTCATATGTGCCTAAATAAGACAAAGTCCAAGAGTGGAAAATAGATTGTTATATTTGGGTGAAAAGTTATATGTTAATTTGATTGTACCATTGATACTCAGTCTAACTCCCACCAAATGACTTTTCCCTGCGTAGGTTTAGTAAGAAGGTAGGGGAAGATACTGATAGGATTCACTTGTGAATAACTGTGAACAGGATTCCCTGCAGTGCCACCCGACTACATATAAAATGAGCCTTCTGAGAAGCAGTGGGTGTAATTTCATCACCAGCAAGAGCCAGGAGTGGAGCGAGTCTTTTTGACCCAGCACTTGGCTTACCCCATGTGTTAGGTCAGATTGACTAAAGAAACAAATCCAGTGAACACTGATATGTATAAAAAAGAGCTTTATATCAAGAAGTAATTATTTAAAAAAAGAAGTAATCATGTATCAATAAAACATCCCAGTCCAATCCAACTCAAGTCCATAAGTCTGAAACTAGTCCATAACTCCCACTTCAGACTCACAAAGCCACATGCAATGATGCAGAATGCAGGAACATCACTGGCCATTGGGTGCAAAGTCTTGTGGCTCCAATGGTATCAGAAGCATCTCCAGGGCTGCCACGGTCTCAGCATGGCTCACCAACAGGAAGGTGAAGGGGGAGAGAGAGATTGGCCCTCCTCCAGAGAGTCATTTGTCTCGGTGGCACTTCCAAATGAGGTCTGTGACCTGATTGACAGATTAAACTCCACCCATACTTTTTTTTTTCCTTACTGTAACATGTATTGATTAAAAAATAAAGGGAAGGGCAGGGCAAGTTGTCAGCATCATTCAGGATAACTATTTCCTGGTATCAAAAGACATGATTCTAAAAAAAAAAAAAAAAGACATGATTCTCACATACATTTTTATATCTTCAAGTTGACATGAAATTATGTAATTACCACACTCTCGTGCTTAACCTTTGGATTTTGGACTGAACAGCATTCACTACCATATGAGACATTTCTTCAAATATTTGTGAGTTTCTATAAGCCACTGCAGTGATTTTCAGAACCCAGAAACTTGAGGGAGTATACTCAAGGGAGAAGTCAGTAGGGAGATTGGAATAGACTAGCATCTAGGAAGAGTTGGGACTCTTCAATTTTCAGCCTTTTGGGACTAATTTGGTATTAATGTATACAAAAGAAATTACCATGAAAAGATTCTGTGGGTAAAGTTTGGATGACACAGAAGTATCCAAAGAAGAAAAAAGAATACACAGTTACTGGTAGACATTCATTAATTTCAGGAGGTGACATACTAACAAGAAGATATGGTCCTAAAAGAAAAAATTCCAAGGTTAACTGAAGGCATTGTCTAAAAACAAGCCTCCAGGAATTGACAGAATGCTGAGATGTTTCACCATTTGGAAGGCAGCTACCTGGCTGAATAAATGGAAATGATCCTATCTGTGCCCATTCCCATGACAGGTAATCTAACAAAATGTGGAAATTATTGAACTATATCATTAATTAATAACACATGCAATAAAACATTGCTGAAGATAATACAAAAACAGTTGAAGCAGTACATTGACAGGGTACCACCAGAAATTCAAGCCAGATTCAGAAGAGGACATAGAATAAAGGATGATATTATTGCTGATGTAAGGTGGATCATGGCTAAAATCAGAAAACGCTAGAAAATTGTTTACTTGTGTTTATATTCAACTGTGTAGATTATAAAAAATTATGAATAACATTGTGAAGAATGGGAATTTCTTGACCATTAATTGTGTTTCAGCAGAACGTATTCATTGATCGAGAAGCAGCTGTTTGACCAGAACAAGGGGCTACTTCCTGGTTTAAATCAGGAAAGGTATGTATAAGGTTGTGTCCTTTCATCATATTTATCAAATCCCAGAAATTATACCATATGAAGTAGAATGCAGCATCAAAATTAGAGGAAGACTCATTAAGTCTGCAGTATACAGATTGCATAACCTTGCTTGCAGGGTAAGAGAACACGAATGAACTTGAAACACATGTTGATGAAAATCAAAACCCACAAAAGTCTTTGAGTTTGGATTACACCTCCACATAAAACAAAAATTCACCACTGGACCAATAAACAGCATCAAGATAAACAGAAAAAAAATCAGTTGTCAAAGATTTTATTTTACTCGATTTCAGTTTGGAAGTTGCCATCAAGAAGACAAATAACACATTGGATTGAGAAAATCTCCAAAGACCTTTGTAAAGTGTTAAAAAGCAAAGATGTCCTTTAGAGGACTAAAATGTATCATGGTATGCATGTGAAAGCTGTTATAATCAGAACTTGAAATGTATAAGGAAGACTGAAAAATTGAGACTTTTGAATTTATAGTATTAGGAAAGAATATTTGAAATACCACTGATGCCATGAGGATGAATAAATCTGTCTTGAAAGAAATATAGCCAGAATACTTTTTACACAAGGATCGTGAGCCCTTGTCTCATGTTTATCAGGACGGACTCTTCACTGGAAAGGGACATCATGCTAGTCAAATATCGGGTCATTGGAAATAAGGCCTTGCTGACAAAAGTGAAGCCAGAGATGCATGATACAATTTTGCAAGACCAACAACTTCTTCATTGTCAATACTTTTTTTCCAGCAACACAAAAGATGATTATACAAGTGGACTTCTCTAGAAAAAATATACAGAAATCCAGTTGACTACATCTGTGGATATAGATGATGGAGAAGCTTAATATCAACAGCTGAAACCAGTGCAGGGGCTGACTGTGGAACAGACCATCAGTCACTCCTATGGAAGTTCAGCTTGAAGCTGAAGAAAATTTAAAACAAGTTTACAAGAGCCAAAATACCACCACAGAAACATATTTGACACATTGAACACTAATGACAGAGATGTGGGATGATATCAAGAATATCACACATGAAAAAGCACGGCATGAAACTTGCACCGAATCAGTATCAAAGTCACTTGGAAGACATGATGAAGTCAAAGAACTGAATAGAAAATTTCTTTAAGGACAGTTCGAGAAGAAAGAGCCAAATATTATAATGAAGTGTGCAAACACCTAGAGTTGGAAAACTAAAAAGAGAGAACACATTTAGCATATCGTAAACTGGAAGACTCAAGAAAAAAAAAAACAACCCATGCCTTTAGTTGCAATATTGAAAGATTTTAAGGACAAAATATTGAATGGTGCAGAAAACATCAAAAGAGATTGAAAAAATACAGAGTCCCAGTACCAAAAAGAACTAGTCAGGATTCCACCATTTCAGGAAGTAATTTATGAGCAAGAATCAGTAATGCTGGAAGAAGAAGAAATTCAAGCTGCACTGATAATATTAGCCAAAACAAAGCACCAGGAATTGCTGGAAGACCAGTTAAACAGTTTCAACAACCTATTGAAATGCTGGAATCATTTACTATGCCAGGAAATTTAGAAGACTGCTATTTGGCCAACTGACAGGAAGAGCTCCATATTTGTACCCATTCCAAAGAAAGATGTCCCACAGAATGCTCAAATTGTAAAACAATATCAATGATATCACATGCAAGTAAAATTTTGCTAAAAATTATCCAACAATGCTTGCAGTAGTTCAATGCCTAGGAGCTGCCAGAGGTTCAGGCCAGATTTAGAATAGGATGTGAAGCAAGACACATCATTGCTGATGTCAGCTGGATCTTGGGTGAAAGCAGAGAATAGCAGAAAGATGTTTACTCTTTTTTTTTAATTGGCTGCTAAGGTGTTCAGTTGTGTAGACCATAACAAACTGTGGGTAACCTTGAATAGAATGGGTATCCCAGAAAACTACAGTGTGCTCATGTGCTCCTATAAATGGATCAAGAGCTAGTTGTATGAACAGAGCAAGGACATACTGCATGGTTTAAAATCATGAAAGGTGTGTGTCAGGATTGCACCTTTTTTTTGTGTGTGTGTGCATCCTGTCAACATACTTATTCAATGTGTATGATAAGCAAATTATGAGAGAAGCTGGATTATAAGAAGAATGAAGCATCAGGATTGGACGAAGGCTTATTAACAGCCTGTGATATGCAGATGACACAACCTTGCTTGCTGAAAATGAAGCATTTGTTGAAGATTGCAGCCTTCAGTGTGATTACAACTCAGTGTAAAGAAAACCAAAAAAGCACCTACAACTGGACCAGTTGATATAAGATAAAAATTTGAAGTTGTCAAGGATTTGTTTTGCTTGGATCCACAATCAGTGCTCATGGAAGCAAGTCAAGAGATCCAATGACACTTTGCATTGGGTAGATTTGCTGCACAAGATCTCTCTAAAGTGTTGCAAAGCAAGGATGTTGCTTTGAAGACTAAGGTATGCCTAACTCAAGCCATGGTATTTTCAGTTGCCTCATATTCATGTGAAAGCTGTACATTAGATAAGGAAGACTGAAGAATTGATGTGTTTGACTTGTGGTGCTCATGAAGAATCTTGAAAGTACCTTGGATAGCCCCCAAAAACATCGAACAAATCTGTCTTGGAGGAAGTATTAGAGTCAAGGATGATGAGACTTCATCTCTAGTATTGTGGACAAGTTGTCATGGCTGAGTGGTCCCTGGAGCAGGACATCATGCTTAGTAAAGTATCAGGGCACTGAGCAAGGAGATCTTCAACAGCATGGTTTGACACAGTGGCTGCATCAACAGGCATGAACACTGGTGAGGATGGGCAGTGTTTTGTTCTGTTGTGCACAGGGTCACCATGAGTTGAATTGCTCGACTGCACCTAATAACAAGAGCAACAAAGGCACCCAGGAGCAACATAACAGTAGAAGAAAAAAATTAATTTTATTTCCTTTTCCCCTTCCTATTATTTCAGCTCCTTGGATAAAAGACTAGATAACTAGAAGATAATGAGCATAGTAGGAAATAAAAGTGAGAAATATCTAGGAAATGTGGTGGGAATTTGTATAAGACATCCAGTAATTGTTGATTCTTTTCATCACCATGCTTTTTCTTAACAGAAATACATTATAAATTTTGATATATTGTTTTCTGATTTCATAGAAATAGATTCTGTTGATTATTTCTGTTACATTTTATATTTTTAATAATGCAAAGAAGCAAACAACTATATGGATGCAAAAGATGAGGATTGGAGTGGAGACCCAAACCCCATCTGTAGATAATTGGATCTTCGTCCCCCACACCCCAGAAATGGTATAAGGAAGGGATGATTCAACTAAAGTGCAGTATAGCACCCACAAAACACATCATTCCTCTAGTTCCTGAATACTATCTCCCCCTCACTCCCATGACCTTGTTCTAACTTACAAATCGGACTAGACCAGAGAACACACATTGGTACAGATAAGTGCTCTTGACACAAGGAACTCAGGAAAGATAAACCCCTCAGGAACAGTTATAGGAGTAGGGATATCATGAGGGCAGGGGGATGGTCAGGGACAGTGAAGGGTGAGAAAGGGGGAACCCATCACAAGTTTGGATATATAGCGCCCCCCAAGGGGACAAATAACAGAAATGTGGCTGAAGGGACACAGTGGACAGTGTAAGATGCTAAATAACACTAATAATTTGTAATCGATCAAGGATACAAGCGGGAGGGAAGGTTGGGGAGAGAGGGGGAAAAAAGGAGCTTTTATAGCAAGGGCTCAAGTAGAAAATATTTTGCAAATGATGATGGTAACATGTTCAAATATGCTTGATACAATTGATGTATGGAAGATTATAAGAGCTGTAAGAGACCCCAATAAAACGATTTTTTAAAGAAAAATAAAATATGAAAATTAGCAATTTTTTTAGACTATTATAATGAAATAAGCTACTCTTGAATTATTTACCCATTTGTTCAGCAGGCAGCTCATAGCTCTATGGCTGACACTCTACTAGGGATTTAAAGGTATCCCTATGTAGTGTGCAGTCTATAGCGGTTCTCAACCCGTGGGTCATGACCCTGGTGGGGGTCAAACGACCCTTTCACAGGGGTCACCTGATTCATAACAGTAGCAAAATTAGAGTTATGAAGTAGCAATGAGAATACTTTTATGGTTGGGGGTCACCACAACATGAGCAACTGTATTAAAGTGTCACAGCATTGGGAAGGTTGAGAACCACTGCTCTAGGCCTTTTGCTTTATTGTGTATAAATGATAGTAATAAAGCAACTGTTCTATTTCCAATCTTCCTTACAGCCTTTAAGGAAAAGACTTCTGAAAGTGAAACATTAATAATGTGTTTGGAAAACTGATAATGTCTTTTTTTAGCATTGTATATATATTTATTAGTTGGGATTTAATACATATAACATCATTCCATATTTCTTTTTATCATTCCATATTTTAATCACATCAAGTAGAATTGTATAATTGCTACCATAATCAGTTGCCAACCATTCTTTTTCTACAGGGACTCCTTGACATTGTTTCTCCACCCACCCACCCACCCACTGTACCCCCTCCTCCCAACCCCTTGGTTTACTTGCTGTCCCTATAGGTTCATCAGTCCAGGGTTTCATATGCCAAATAATGGAAAAGCATGTAACACAGTTTTAAGAGGGTGATCTCCATTGACATAATGCCTCTGAGAACAATGTTTTCTTATTAAGGAGCTATATGTGAATTATCAAACATTTTGAAAAGGAACTATCATCATCAAGTAGCATAAAAATTAGCTTATTTTATACCTGTTTGGGGCTGACCAAAGGATAATCCCAAGAAGGAGGAATTTTATGTTGACCATTTTTATTCAGGTTTATTTTTATTCCAGGGTTCTGCCAAAGGCTCTGCTTCAGTCACTTTGCTATCATTTAGCCCGCAGTGAAGGCTAGTCCAAAAGTTGAGGGTTCTATAGCTTCAGGCTAAGACTACTTAATATGATTCGGGCCTTGGAATATCTCTCATAACAGTAGTTTGTGTCAATCGATAACCTTTTGGGATTGCACCATTGTTGCACACAGAAAAACCAAACTGGTTGCCGTTGTGCTGATTCTTACTCCTGGCAGGTAATCCCATGTTTCAGAGTAGAACTTCACTCATTCCATGGCTTTGGTCATTTGGAAGATCTCTAGACCTTCCGTTTGAAATGTCTTTACATAGATTAGAACTACTCACTGTGTTAGTCTGGGTATTTTAGAGAAACAAATCCACAGAAACGCATATGTGTAAGAGAGAGTTTTATATAAAGATTAAGTGCACATCAAGAAAACATCCCAACCCAGTGCTGCACAAGTCCAACATTAACCCATTAACCCATATGTCCGACACCAATGCACAAAGTCCTCCTCCATCTCATATAACACACACTATGACGCCAACTGCAGGAGGAAAGCTGAATCAGTGAGTGTGTAAGCATCTCAGCGCTGGCAGGGATCTCCACATGGCTTCTCCAAAACCAGGGCTACACTGGGGTAGGTCCATGTGGCTTCTCCTTGGGGATGTTGTGCAGGAAGTGAGCCTTGCCAGCTGAAGCAGGGAACTGGCTAAGGTAGCTGCACCCTGGTACGACTTTCACAAAGCAAGAGACCTGAGAACTAGAAAGGCGAGGCTCACTGAGCCATTTATCCCTCCTCCATCCAATTAACCCGACATGTGTTTATCTGCTAGGTTGGCACAATTAACTAACTACCTCACTCACCTTTTGTTTAGTATCTTTGCCACCAGGAACTACTCGATTGCTACCACAAACCCACTTTTACTGAGTTGATTCTGACTCATATTGCTCCTTTAGGGGTTTTGAGACCAAATATTTATGGGAACTTCATTTTTCTTCCAGAGTGTTAAGTAGGTTTGATCTGCTGACCTTGTGGTTTGCAGCCCAACACTTAACCTAGTTCGCCACCCGGGCTCCTTCATCCAGTGCCTGGTAAATGGTGGGGGAAGGAAGCCATTGAGGAGGAAGTAGCTTCATTTCTCATAGGTTCCAGCCAAATTCAAAGAAAAAGCTTTAAATTCCCCTTATTTTTTAAATCATTTTATTAGGTGCTCATACAACTCATATCACAATCCATCCATTCATCCTTTGTGCCAAGCACATTTGTACATTTGTTACCATCATTTTCAAAACATTACCAGATAAATAACTACTATAAATGGCTAAATTGTTGGAGGATATAAAACCAAAACCCATTTCAGGAAGCTATCTACTTTGCTTATTTTTTTCAATCATTTTATTGGGGGCTCATACAACTCTTATCAAAATCCATACATATATCAATGTGGCAATCACATTTGTACATTCGTTGTCAAAATATTTGCTCTCCATTTAAGCCCTTGGTATCAGCTCCCCATCCCCTCCTCATTCCCTGCTCCTCCCTCATAATTTTTAAGTTATTATTATTTTGTCATGTCTTACACTGTCCAACATCTCCCTTCACCCACTTTTCTGTTGTCTGTCCCCCAGGGAGGAGGTTATATGTAGATCCTTACAATCAGTTCCCCCTTTCTACCCCACCTTCCCTCCACCCTCTGGTATCGCCACTCTCACCATTGGTCCTGAAGGGATCATCTGTCCTGAATTCCGTGTTTTCGGTTCCTATCTGTACCAGTTTACATCCTCTGGTCTAGCCAGATTTGTAAGGTAGAACTGGGATCATGATAGTGGGAGGGAGGAAGCTTTTTAAGAATTAGAGGAAAGTTGTACATTTCATTGTTGCTACACTGCACGCTGACTGGCTCGTCTCCTCCCCGCGATCCTTCTGTAAGGGGGTGTCCCATTACCTACAGATGGGCTTTGGGTCTCCACTCTGCACAGCCCCTCTTTACAATGATATGATCTTTTGTTCTTTGATGGCTGATACCTGATCCTATGGACACCTCGTGGTCACACAGGCTGGTGCGTGCGCTTCTTCCATGTGGGCTTTGTTGAACTTTGCTTATTTTTTAATAGAGTTCATTCTAATTAATTATGACTTTTTCATTTTGTTTTAAAATTTAACATTTAACTGTGTTTCTTTTATTTTTGTACCTAGATTGCAACATATTCTCCTATGCTTGACACCTACAGAATACATGTCCTAAAGGAATTAATCAGTGGTTTTCCATCCTGGAGATACATTAGAAACATAACTATGGTGCCAAAAGAACCCCTTACCACCCTCTGACTACAGTTCATTTGGACATACTATTCTATTGAAGAGACAGGAGCACACACTGAGGATACTCACTTTGCAAAGACTTTGTCGTGTAGGATCATGGACCATCCTAGTAGGGAAAAGGATGAAAGACAACGGACAAGTAAACCAATGGTACAAAGGAGTGCCCACTGCTCCCGACCGTCTGGTTCATCGACATCCTCTGGGGTCCTTATGGTGGGACCCAACTTCAGGGTTGGCAAGAAGATAGGATGTGGGAACTTCGGAGAGCTCAGATTAGGTAAGAACTTGCTTGTGTCAATGACTTTTAACAATAACAGTAATGGTCACAATAAGCTTTGATGTGTTTCAAGACAAGCAATTTACATTTTTTCTGAGAAGTTCTTCATACCTAGATCATGTCATTGTAAGAAGTTAAGCATTTGTGAAGGGGCTAGTCACTATCATTGAAGGGTAGCTTGTTGAGATTTTCTAATGAAAGGTGATGTGCAGACAGCTGTGAGAAATGCGTATTAAGATTTAGTGAGTAGTTCTGAGGTGGAGCCTGCATTCTATAGAAACTCTCCATCGATGCCGATGCTGGCTGCCCTCCACCCACACTTTGAGAAATAAAGGAGGAAAGTTTGTATTTAATTCAGATCCTCTCCTCGAACAGGGATGAGAGTCAATCCTTGCTTAATAATGCTGAGGCTTCGTCTGCAAAGATAAGAGAACTTATCTTCAAAGTTGAGAGAATTATACGGCAGATAACTGTGTGTGCCTTTCTTCCTTGAGATCCCAACATTAGAATTAAGTTAGATCTCTTGGGAAGAAACCAAGCAATTTTATTTCCCAACCATGGAAATGGATTTTCTATTTCATGTATTACTTATGGCTGAGATGATGAATGGTGACAAAAATAATTTCATTTGAAGAGGTGATATTGGAATTAGAAGGTATATTGAGTATTTATATGAGAGGGTTCAAAAAGTTTGTGGAAAATATAATAGAATTTTCCCCATGAATTTTTGCCATCCCTTTGTATGTATTTTCATGATCCTCCCAGTGAGTGGAGGAAGAGAAAATGAAAGAGCTTATAAATGTATAAAATCGAAATCAGCTTGATGCCAGTTTGTTTTCTTTTTCCTCATAGCTGTTGAAACTATGAAATTTTATGAAGCCCTATTGTAAGAGACTTGGGCTGGTGGGGGAACAAAGGGGTTGGGAATGTACCGGTGCTACTTCTTATCATATTGCCAAAAAGGATGAAAGTCTCAGCCTCTAGAATTTCAGGGAAATATCACTATACTAGCTGGAGACTATGGGGTGCAGAATGAAATTTAGAGTTGCTGAAAATGAATTTATTTTTACTATTAGAAGGCTGCCAACCTAGAATTTAAATTCCTGGCTAGTCAGTGAAAGCCAAAAAAAACCAAACTTACCGCCATCAGGTCATTGCCCACTTAATGCAACTCTATAGAACAGAATAGAACTGCCTTGATGAGTTTCCAAGATCGCAACTCTTTATAGGAAAGGCTCTTTATATTTAGGGATGTGTTCATGTTCAGTTTAGCAAAGCCAGCACAAGCTACTGAGAATGAGAGTAGAATGTGTAATTCACACTGCTGGACTTCCTAGCAAGTATCTAGTTGCTTTAGTAACTAGTTTTGTGGATACTCATTTATGCAGTGGATTGACTTTGTTCTAACCTTACAGTACATACTTTTATTAAATAGATTATAGCATAAATATCTATAAAACTGCTACTGAAAGGTGGTTTATAATGGATATATAAGTTTATGCATTCTCAGAATTCAGAAATTTGTTTATAATTTTTATAAAGATAAGGATTTTAAAATTTACATGAGAATGAAAAAACTCATTCTATTAAAAGGATAAATTATAGATCCTTTTTCAGAGTAGTAGGGAAACTATAGCTTTGATCATTCTTATTTTGACTTGCTTGTAGTCAGTGGATAGAACTTTTAAAAATCTTTTTTCCCAAGTGGTCTCATTTTTGTGTGCTTCTCAGTTTCCATTAACCCTGGGATCATTATCATTACAAGATTCTATCTAACAGTATATTTTAACAGCAGAAAAGGAAGGTTCAGGATAATTTAATATCCTTCTAATAATTGAATGGGCTGTGTACTTCACTCCATCATTATCTTGCGATAGTATTAGTGAATGGAAGATAGGGCGATGGCAGAATATGGAAATGGAGAAATTCCAAGATTCTGGCAGGTCCAAGTTGGTCTCCAACCATAGCTGCCACCACCAACGTGCTGCTTTCTCCTCCACATTCATTTTCTCCTCCAGCTACACCATCTCTTCACGTGCATTTCTGCCTCAGGGCTTTACACGTGGAGTTCCTTTTGCCTATAAAGTTGATTCCCTAAAATTTTTCATAGCTGGCTGCTCATATTTCAGGACTCAGATTCTATATTACTTTGTCAGAGAGACTCTGTGAGATTTGTTTAAATGAGACTCCACCCTCATTTAAATTAGTGTATTTTCCCATAGCCATATTGTTCCCTATCAAACTGCTTTGTTTTATTCATTACATTTATCAAGATTTGACTTTGCTTATATTTGTTTACCCGTTCATAGTCACTTCTGACCTGGAGGTGAGGACATCTATATATATTGTTTATTATTGTTATTTGTTCTCAACCAAACTCACTGCCATTGAGAGAATCTGATTCATTGTGACTTTATAGGGTAGGGGAGGACTGCCCCTGTGGATTTCCTAGACTGTAACTCTTTACAGAAGGTAGAAAGCCTCATCTTTCTCCCTTGGAGCAGCTGATGGTTTTAAACTGTTGACCTAGCAGCCCCACCCATAACCACTGCATCACCAGGGCTCTCAAAAAATGTTTGGCTGCTTGATCCAAGTCAGAAATTTTGAGAGCCTTAGCTAGCTTTTAGCTCTGAAATTTCTACATGGAAATAGGAAGAGTGAATTGGATAGGACTTTCAAAAGTAGATTGTAGACAGAATTTGGTCATTGTCTTAGGAGTCAAAGGTATTTGAATTTGCCAACTTGGAGTGATCACTTGAATAAGGAAACCTTTAAGGGAGATAGGAAGTAAAAGATTGGGCTGGGTACTTGGGTGATCAGGGAGGTAGATTCTGAGTAAAGTGTGGTGGCACATGTGTATAAATATCTATATGAGACTGAGAATGTTTAGTTTAAGAAAAAGGCTTTAGAACTCGTCACCATACGGACCCAGTCATAGGTGGTGAGGTGGTGCTTTGTGCATGGAGCTTGTGTGAGAGGAGAGAGGGTTTATGCATGCAAGGGTTGCTGGAAGAGAGAGTTTAGAAAGGTTAAGAAATCAAAAGAATTGCTGGAGTGCTAGGGTTGCAAGCAAGATTTGTGCCCAAAGGAGGTTAAGCTGGAGACAAAGGGCTGGTTTTTGCACTTTAGTTTTCATTTGTTTTGTTACTAAGTGAACAAATGTATTTGTAATCAGCAAAAATGACAATACACAATTAACAAAAAAATGTGTAAAATTTAAAAATGGAAGTAATCTACTTGTTGCAAAACTTTTTTTATTTATGGGTACATTTAATTCAATTTTTATGTATTTTTAAAAACATTTTATTGTGAATTGTGTGAAGGTTTACAGAGCTCATTGATTTTCCATTCAGGAATTCACACACATTTGTTTCATACTGTTGGTTGATTGCAACTCCATAGTGCAACATCACTTATCCTACTTCCTGCCCTTGTTTCCTGTTTCCATTCTTCCTTCTGTCCTAGCCTGTTGAACTTTGTTCTTGAGTAAAAACTGCCCTTTGGATCTAAGATGGTCAGTTATTCTAAGGTGTGTGTATTTCCCAAGTGCCTTATAGACCCTTCAATTAGTTGACTGAATTTTGAGGCATGAGGATGAATTCATTTCTAGCCCTGAAGAGCCATAGTCTCAGGGCTACCTCCATGTCTGTCCTGATCAATTTTAGGATTTCAAGTTTTGTTCCACAACAGGAATCTTTTAAAATTCTACTGCACTGGTCTTTCCAGAGATAACCACTAATGATGGTTTATTTTTTAAAAACCTTAAAATGTGTATCAGGGTATATTTCTTTTTCTTTAAAAAATATATTTCTAATATCTATAGAATTATATATTTTAATACTTCACTTAATAATCCTCTTACTATATATAGACACATTGGTTTTAATCCTTTAATATAGGTAATACTGTACTGAACATCTTTATAGACACTTCTTTGGCTAACTTTTCTTATTTAGAAATCCTGGATGTGTACTCACTGAGTAAAAGACTATGCACATTTGCAATGTTTTTACACATTGACAATTTGCCCTTCATGTAGTTTCACTTTACTTTCCATGTGTGTATGTGTGTGTGTTTCCCTACCCCTTAAGATAGTGAATATTATGGAGAACCTGTTCATCTTTGCCAAACTAATGGTAAGAAAATGTTTCTGTTAGTGGATGAAGTTACGCATCTCTTCATGTATTTCTTCTCTTGAGATTTATGGCATTCTTTGCCTATTTTCCCACAGAAGGATTCCTTCTATAGAGGCTAGTGTATGCTGTCTCAATAGAAATGGGAATGTTTATCTATATGAAATGTTTATGAAAGAAGAGAAATTTGATGGAAGATGATTGTGAATAAAAGGAAGACATGATGGTGTGGAAACAGATTTGCAAGCTGCTTTTCATTAATTGGAAGACATCGGGAATATTTTGAGGGCTTTTTTTTATTTTTTATTTTGTGCCATCTGCTGCATCAGGCCTCGAAGTAATCCCCTAACCATTAGACTATGTATTTCTGTATTGTGGTCTTCCAGAATTAAGAAAATGTATACCCTTAATCTACAAATAATTGCATGTAGTTCTTTTCTTAGTTGAAGAAAAAGTAGAAGGTATTTTTTTCAAATCTAAACAAAGATGCACCTAAGTTTATCCTCCCATTTTAGACTAGAGAGGCTTACAGATGATTTTAATAAGCCTTTATCCTTCAAAAATAGGATCTCGTTGGAAGGTAATTTTACTTGCAAACAAGAACATGGAAGCTCTAAGAATTGACCTCTGTATTCTTTTCCGTCTTTGGTATGGATGAAATATGCAAAAGTGTATTAGTACAGAAGAATGTTTCTGACAGAGGTAAATTGGCCAAAGGAAGCAGCTTGTCCTGTGCCATCCTCCTCCTAGACTTCTAAAATGAGACATTTCTTCTGTGACTAAAGCAGGGTGGGTCCAGCAACTTCCCTACACATTGTTCTTTCCTTATCTGAATTATTGAACCATCCTGCCAGTTCTGTTGTCGAT